TAGCATAGCGTGCCGGCCGGACGGATTTTCCGCGCGAAACGAATATCGAGGACGTCGCCGCGGTGTCTCGGGTACCGGCCAATCGCCGCCGTCCGATTAGAAAGCGGTATTTATAGGCGTTCGGCCGGAGCAATATTGTTATTTAGCCCCGGGAGATTACGGTTTAGCCTGGTCGTCTTCGGAGAGTCTAATATAATATACTTACATGCCTCTAACTAGTTTTTTCTTTTTTTTTTTTTTTTCATTTTTCACTCTTTTTTTCTCCGGCACCCGCTGTGGGGGGGGGGACCCACAACTCGCCACGAGCTTCGTCGCCGCGATTATCTCGACTTTCTTCGCGTTCTGTCAGGGTCTCGGTAAAAACCGACTGGGACCACTGCGGCTAAACCGCAAAATAACGTTGTCCGAAGTAACGATTTATCACAAACTTTAACGCGCGTACATGCAATTTTAACGACATTTTCGAACAAATGAATATGTTCAAAAACCGCTCGAATTTACCAGTTGTACGCCCCAAAAGTGTTTATTAGCGTACAAATGGTAGGTAGATACTTTTTTAATTTCTTAAAGGTTTCATTAGTTTCAAAATAATGATGTAATTGTAAACGAAAATTCAAAATGTGTACTTAAACATTTAATTCATCATTTGATAGAGAAGAAATAACATTTTTATTCAAGGTCAAATAGAATCAATTCAAATAAAAAACAGATATACTTCACTCGTGAGTGCAGGGTAGACCACTTTTGTAATTATGAAATTGGGAAAGTAAAGGGGGAAGGTTTCATATTTATTAGAATAACTCGTGGAAAAATCAAAGGATGACCACGGAAAAAAAATAATTATTGTAAAACCAATCATTCCTCGCTTCACTCGGAATCTAAAACTACAAAACTTCAATAAATTTTAGAATATTTTTGATACTGAGTGAAACGATGAAGCTTACGGTTTTACAATGATGTTTATTTAAGGTTCTAAATGTAGCGAAGAATGTATTGGTCTTACAAAGATGTTTATTTATTTTTTTTTTATGTGAACACTCTCTACCAAAAAGCTTACTTTGATGTATATGATGTAAATCCTTTTCTGAAGGAAATTTTCTTGGGGTGGTACATTAGGGAGGTCATTTTTCGATTTTTTCAGGATTTTTCTCAACAAACGGGAAAACCCGGGAAAAACTGGAGGAAAACGGGAAAATGTACGAAATGTAAATTAATGTTAATAAATATTACGGCCTTTTTTTTCTTGTTAACAACTTTTCTACAACCAATTTTGCTCCGATTTACAATGACAACACTTTTTCTAAAAGGAAATCTGACTCAGGAGGTACTTTAAGAGGGTATTTTTTTGATTGACCCAGAATTTTTTCAATAAATGGTAAAAACAAGGAAAATCATGTAAAAACCGGGTAAAACGAGAAAATCAGTGCTTTAAACAAATATTATTGAAGGAAATTTATAATGTCTATTTAATTTTTTTTACCATAATATGACATATAACATACTGTTGACAAAGCCAAACTATTAACTGAACTCCACTCAGAATCGTTTTTTCATTAGCAATGGTTTACAGGTATACATTAAATTACCTATAACAATGACTGCACCCGTCTTCATTATCCTAAAACAGATTTTTCCATCATGTGTATTATTTCAATAATAATAATAATTCTTTTATAATTTTAGATTTTTAAAAAAAAAACAAATACACAAAGAAAAAAAAAACCGTAAACCCGTTCAATATCAGCTGTATTTACATTTATCGGTAACGTTGGGTGACATTGGGCGAATTTATGCTCGCCGTCGTCGGCGAATAAAATTGTTGGGACGCCGTGCTTTTAATACAATCTGAATGAAATCCCTCATAATATGATATTTTCCACGTATATTCTTGATGAGAAAACGGCCAGCGAGTGACCGCAAAGGCAGACATGCCTTTGTCTGGCCTTTGCCCGTAAAACGTGTTTCGTTCGGCGAGATGAAAGTGAAATTTCGGTTTTCCGACAGCTTACGGCGCGCCGCCGCGGCCGGCCCGCTCTTTCGCGCAGCACACGCGAAATGAACGAAACGCTAATGGGTTTTTTATTTATTTTTTTTTTTTTCTCGTCGAACAATATTATGCACGGGTGAGTGTTGTTGTCGTTACTGTCATTACTCCGGCGGCGGTACGCTAATATGAGATCGGCCGATTTGTGTACAACCCACCGCGGTTGTACGCGAGAAGAAACCGTTGAAATCATCGTGTTTCCCGTTTCGTTTTTTTTTTTTTTTTTTTCTCTATCAAATTACCGTTCGAATTTTACGCGGGTAAAACGCGACGCGTTTTTCGGTACATAAAATAACGCGCCAGTATTGCTGTAGCCGGCGTCCGTCCCGCGACTTTTACTCTCGTCCGCGATACAAAACGCGCGAAACGCGTTCAAATTCCGTTGTTGTTGTTATTATTGCCTGTGACGGGTGTCCCCGTACGCGCCGCGGCTGCCGGTCACCGATCGGAGGTATTTTTACTATGCGTTTTCACGGTGACGTCTCCGGAACCTGTCCGGTCCGGCGCCGCCGGGACAACGCCGCACAGCGGACTGGCTGACCGGTCCCGACCACTTCTACAGCGCGTCGCCCTGGTACACAACACCGCAATATTATAATAACAGCGCAACACGGTGACAATACGCAGACGACGCAGCCGAGAATTTCCGTTCGGGCGAGCGGCGCGTTTCGCCGGACGCCGTTCGTAACGTAAAATTGGGCCGCCGTCCGAAATGCTCGTAAAATGCGCAAGTGTCGCCCGCGTTTGTCATTGTACCGGTTCGGGTCGGAATTCCGTTTTAAACGCCAGTACACAAGGCGGCGTACGCAGGAGGGTGAGGGGGGGAGGGCTTAAGGGTCGAAGCCCCCGCCCCCATCGACCGTGTTTACGCGCGTACGCATACGTACGCAATTGTTTATATTTTTCAAGTTTCGACTGTAACAGCAAATGGCGCACAAGGACTTTTTTCTTTATTTTTTTTCACAAAATACGCTATTTTTATCAGTAAACGATTAGATTTAACACCGCTGTCTATTAACAACTTTGCTATACTACGGTATTATCGCAAAATACGATTTTATCAGACTTATAAGATTATTATTTTTTATTATTTATTTTAACTGGATTTTGTTATCATCACAACTCTGGTGGATGTGCACACCCGGGCTCCCCCACACAACCTTAAATAATATCTATGATTGCAAATCGCAATGTTGCGGTAAAACACGAGTGGCCGTACGTTTTAATTTTTGTGGGAACGCGATTCCGTACGACTTCGATCAAACAATGCGTTATCAAAATGGACCCTAAAACAACACGATTCCGTAGGTTTTTCTGTGCAGTGTTGCTATTTATTATTTATTATTGTCAAATACAATAATAATAGTAATTAGTATGGAAAAAATAATTAGACGCCTAAATTTGATGAATCGTTTAAAAAAAATACGTGCCCATAAAATTGTACAGAAATAATTATAATTTGATATCTCAGTACTTGTGACAAATACTTGACAAACATTTTATTATATTTTTATGAATCGAATATTCATCAAACGTTGTTTGTGCACGATCCCGTACGCTGATAAGGACCGTATATATTGAACGTGCTGAACTGATGTTAACAACTATCAACGCATCGTTAAGTCAGCCCACGGATGTTGTAGATAATACTAATATAACCTTTAATTAGTGAAAAACAATTAGGTAGGTGTGTAGATAATTTTGTTTTCCCTTATTTCTCTTGTGTACCAAAGCAATAATATTTTGTAAAGGTTTTTCGTCATTGTTTTCGTATAAAAAGTATCTCATAGTTTTGCACGCTAAAATAACTATTTAATTATTTAATTAATTATTGATATTTTTAATTTCATTAATAATAATTATTCATTATGGCAAAAAAATGATCGAATTTTTTTCGACTTTTAGTTTGAAGAAAAAAAACGGTAGGTAAGTATGCAATCCACAGTTCACAAAATTCTAATTTTGGTTGATCTCTGGAGTTTTTAGTACTCTACTAGCTTGAAAATTGTATTTTACTGCCCAAAATGTCCATAGTTACCTAAATATTACTTTTCGGATTCTTTAGTTTAGCGAAGAATGTAATGATTTTACAAAGATGTTTATTTTTTTTTTTTATGTAAACACTTTTACTATCAGAAATCTTACTCCGATTATCAAGTATAGCACCTTTCCTAAAAGGAAATATTCTCTGAATGGTACTTTAAAGAAGTTATTTTTTGAAATTCTCATTAATATTCGAGATAATGAGGAAAGCCTGGTTCTTTAGGTTAGACAAGATTGAAAAACTAAAAATAAGGTTGTCATTGTCAACCGTTTTTATTTATTTTTTGTTATTATTAAGTTTTTATTGTTTTAATTTTTTATTAAACAATCATTGTTGTCATGGAAACGCACATTGTAATCATTTTAACATAATATGACATGTGTATTGTTGACAAAGCAATACTATTAATTGAACACCGCTCAGAATCGTTTTTTCGGTAGCAATGATTTATCTTTGCCTACAGATATACATTAAATTCTTATTTAAAATCTACCTTCCCAACTTCCCACCTACAATAATGGCCGCGTGCGAAGTATGTCCGTCCTTTATTTTAAATTTTTTTGTGTACCTATATTTTAATCGTATATTTATTATCAATCAGAATTGATGAATTATGCATTGAAATGCATCTACTTTATTTTTCAAACTTGTGACAAAACATCTGATTATTTATCAATTTTCAAGCTCCCCCTTCCCATTGAAAAACCTTACGTGCACCACTAAATACATATTATTATTTACAGAGTAATCGTCTACGAAAATACTAAACCACTCGCATCCATCAAATTCGAATTTTCCGCTAGTCATTTTGCATTTGAGAGATAACCGGGTAAGCGGTTATCTATGGTAACATTACGTATCAAATCTTTTATCACAAATTCACAACATAATCATCATAATCTCGCGTTTATTGACTTGTAAGTTATAGTGTTTGTACGATTGCATTACGTGTTATGTACCTGCTTATTGTGCTTACTTACTAAATGTTATGTTTGAATAACCGAATTTCTAATGGTTTAAATATTAAAGATTGATCTGTAGTATGCAGGCAATGAAATGCCCCTGTTGTTAAGTTAGTTGTCGACTGTGAAATTTTATTGCCATCAAAATGTTTGAATCCACTTCGTTGATAGTTTACACACTTTTCTGCATTGTCGCTTCGGTTTGTTTCGTGTCCAGGACCATCGAATTTGTGGCCAATGGTCTAACCGTTGAGAATTTGCTCAGAACTGTCATCATTAAGGAGTACGATAATTTCGTATTGCATCACATCCAGCGTACATCGTTTAGTATTATCGTGTACTCAAGCCTACCATTAGGTTTGTTTAAAATATCTTTTTATACTTCCTTTGAATTATAAACAATGTATTCTTTGTATTCCAGTTTATTTACTGGGAACGCTGTTTGTCAATAATAGTGAAAAATCATTCGTGTACGTGTACTTTGATGTGCTGTGTTTACTGTTTCTGGTACCAATTGGCATTTCTGTTTCAGTAGTGTATAATTGGAAATCTAATGATTGGGCTAATCATCCATTAAGAATTGTTTTAAATCATTACGATCCTGCCGATTGGACTATCCCAGCTCATAACATTACTACTGAATTTCGATCGTATGTGTTTTTTCTAATTTTTACTAGGTACCCATAATATGCTTGATAGTTTACAAATTAATATTTATTTTTATTATCTGTTAAAGTATTGAAAAATTAACCCTAACTTGTGGTACATTGAAAAAAACTGTTGTTACTCAAAACTGGATTATTTCGATTGATCAATTTAATGTTTCGGTCGCTAAGAAATCAGAAAGTTTATTTACAGTATACAGTTCAGATATATTTGATAATGTACCTGATGGCACCCCTGGCGCTGTACAATTTATTAACATTGAAGTAACAGCTCTTCGATCTCGAATCAAACCTTTTTCCGTAAGGTAATAATTTAAACCTAAACACTTTATATAAACTCTTAAAGAAATGTATAAATATTCTTTGAATAGGATTAGGTCAGAGGACTTCCAGACACTAGAGGAACATATTGGGCACCCTATACAGATTTCAGATAATGTTAAGTTACAGCGCTCAAGAACTGAACGTTTCCTTGAAGTATTCCGTGAACAGGTTTCCCAAAATCCAGTATATAGGGGTTATACTGCAGCAGAAGTATGTTTAAATAATTGTACTGTCATTTTGTCTTAGTTTATACACATTTTCTAGTCCTTACTAATAATTTTAAATTTAATAGGTACATAGGTATCATTACTATATATATCAGTTGTATTATTTTATTTTAATTTAAGTAATTTAAAAAATTTAACTTGGTTAAATATAACAAATTTAACTTTAAATTTACTTACTCACCAACTAGATTGAAATTTCAACAAAAAAGTTCTCTTGTTTTTCTATTAGAGAAATATTTTTGGTAGAAAGCATATAAATTTAACTAGATAACATTTTCTTTCAGGAAAGGTGCTACACTTGATACATCAAAGCAGCAAGTTTTCTGTTTGAAAAATTGCTAACAAACCAAAAAAAATACATATTTAAAACTAATAGGTCTCTCGCTACACTCTGAATCTTAAAACTGTTATTATTATTGTTGCCACAGACAATGAAGCACCCATATTCTACACAAATTATATTACTGGACAACAATAATTACTTAGCTATGGATAAATTGGGATGCAGATAAGAGTAAAAACAAAAAAAAAAAAATTAGATTAACCTAACCATTATTAATCCCAGCATTTGATCAAATTGACCCATCGTGTATGCTACTTTTAAATTAAGCAATTGGGAATTATTTGTGCATTACTTATATATTTGTATCTGTTTATGAATTTGGACAATGTCAATTTCTGTATAATCTGATTATTGTATCAGATGTCTTTTGACATCGACAATTTCTATATGACCACTTAAGAGTTAAATTCAAATTTGTTTATGGATTTCTATTTTTGAAAAGCTTCTTAACAATTTTATTTTCAAGTGCTAAAGAGTAACCAAAAACACCTGGGAAATACTGGGTAATTCAACTCGTATTTAATATAGTTAATCAATTAAACTTTACAATTTAACCGTTTTGTCATTAGGGTTGAAGTGAATTCAAGTAGAAGCAATATTAAGTTGACTTTATAACTTTATAACTGTGAAGAAAAAAACGTTTTCTATGAATGAATTATACTATTTATTTTCTTAAAAGATAATAAATAAATTATAATGTATTAAACTTAATAAATTGTGTTTGGTTTTAGTTGGAAGACAATACATGTGCTGGTTGTTTGGTTAACATTCCTAATGTTAAACTTACTAAATGTTGTGATGATGACCCTGTTAACGAAATGTTACCATGTTCTTCATGTCAATGCAGACCCATGTGGTGTGTAGATTGCATGGCTAAATGGTAAGTATATATTTTATACATAATCGAGTTGTACACATTTAAATTTGCATGGATTTTAGGTATGAATCGAGGCAACCTCAAAATGACACAACTATTTGGTTATCATCAAAATGCACCTGTCCGCTTTGTCGTCAAGTGTTTTGCATTCTTGACGTTTGTCCATTGGAAAACTTTGACTTTAGAAATACTGTTTAAGTATTGATTTTTCTTGACTATAATACTTCTATCATAAATGTGTTTGTGTTACTCATAAGTTAATCAATTAAAAAAATTACTTTGTTTAATGTGTTAATAGTACATAGCTATACAATTATCTTTATTATTTTCTGAAGTTATTTTTAACTAAAATATTTTATTTTAAAGTGTTAGTATAATGTTTATAATATAGAGTATGCGATTGATTAAAACAAAAAAAGTATACGTAATGTTTTAGTTACATAATAATGTGTCACATTGTTACATGGGTATCAAAAACCCATGTAAAAAAAAAGTTTTTCAGGAGAAACATTCAAGTTGTTCGGTAAAAAATAGTATGCAATACAAAATTGTTAAGATATATTGATATTGAAGTATGTATTTGGAATGAAATTGAACTGTTATATAAAAATATTTAATCCAAATAGATGTTAACTTAATATTATGGAGTATTTGGTAAGATTTTTAAAAAAATATGCAAGATATTATTAATTTACAAATAAGAAGTTAGATAAACATTTATTTTTCTGATGCTGCATATTTTTTTTAGATTTATCAGTACTTGAATCTTTATTCTTCTCAACTGTTATCATTATAATATAAATTATTTTATAGCATATTATTATATCTGAATTTATTCAGATATACCAAAAGATAATTTTGGTATGTTTTGTACATAAATGGTTATTCAAAAATAATATTATGCTCATCAAGTATTACGATTTTGAATTAATAATATAAAATAAATATATGTATTTACTATTTGGTTATATATTATTGCAAATATTGTATTAAATATCATGTAATTAGTGTAATTCTTTGACTGAGATTGGTGCTGAAGTATATAATATTATTTTTTTAGAAACTTTTAATAAATATATATTTAATATTTTATTTAATTGATGAGTTGTATTTATTTATTTCTAAGCCACCATTTCTTTAAAGATAATTGTATTTTATTATTTTAAGGCCATACTTCAGATGTCTACCTATTTATTATTATACCTACCTATATTCGATGCAATACTTTCCAAGCCTTAACTATATAATATATTGTATACTAATGTAAATATATCTATAAATTATTAGTTTAACAATTTCATAATACTGTTGATTATAAATGTATAATATAGTATTTATAATCAATGGTAATATGTTTAAAATTCAGAGTAATTTGAGAAACACATTAGTTTAATAATATGTGTATTTTTCTACCTGTGAACAACTTTTTGACCAGTTACCTTCTGGGTGAAAAACAATTATAGAAACCTGACATTTTTATTTTAACACTTTTTAGATGCGGTATAATTTTATAGTTTTATGAAGATAAAATGATTTTGCTTCAGTAAAAAATACAAGGTTTCTCATAAGTTGTTCTTATGATAATATAAAAATATCGAAAAATCTGAAGCAAACATTTTTTTTATATAGGATTTTAAGTTCGACTTAAAAGCTTATTAGAATGCTTTTTGATGAAAAATGTAAAAATCATAGCATTTTAAAAAAGTGTTTAACCAAACATTTAAAATTCAATTTAAGTTTATTTAATTTTATTAAATAATTATTAACTTACACTAGAGTTGGGCAAAAAAACTACATAAAATGAATTAACAACTTAGATATTATACCCAACGTCATCAGTTAGGTAAAACATGCGTAATTTTAAGTGTCCTACTGAAATGTTTTGGTAGCTTGCTAGTTCAATCTGGGCTTCATTACATACCTACCTATATTTTACAAATATCAAAAACTTAATAATATAATAAGTGTGTGAATTTTCAAACTCACTATGGTTGTTGTATATAACCTAGATATTAGAAGACTAAATCTCTGAATCATAACAAATTTATAAAAACAAATTCATTTCGATATCTATGCATATTCAAATATATAGATGATTATTTTTTGTGTCTTCCATTTTAGTAGATTCCCTTTTTAAGGTGAGCAATATATGAAAAAACCTACAAAGCAAAAAAAAAAAAACTATTGGAAAGAAGTAAATCGTTTTTAAAGTATTTTATGATAAATTTATTTTCAAAAAAAATGTTTCGCATGAGTAAAAGTATATTATACTTATATTTTAAATATTTCATATAGCCATTCAAATTTTACCTATCATACAAAAACTATAGTAATAATGGTGATTACCAGTATGCATTTTTTAAATATTTTCAGAAAAATTAAAAAAAAAAAAAACAGGTAAATGAATAATTGTAAAATGTACAAAATGTATTTAAACCTATTTTTAGGTTAGTTACACACTAGGTACTTAAAGTAAACATATTTCAATCTACCCACTACTTTAATACAAAACAATTTAAACATAATTTGTAAAAATATTTTAAATTAAATTAAATCAAAACTTACCAATGGCATCGTCATAGTTTTCAAGGAAACGGATAATAAATTATTCTTTAGTTTACAACTAAATATTCAGTTATGAATTATTATGCATGGCTGGGCAAGTTAATGACTTTTTTTTTTTTAACTCGGTTAAGTTAAAATTTAATTTTTTTCTTATTCCCGTAACACTAGTCTACTTTATTATTTACCACCTTAAAGCTATTAAGTGTTTATAAGTACAGTGTTTTTATACATTGCTATTAATTTTAAAATAATCAATATTGACAGTGATTAAAAACCATTATTTTAAATATAAATGCAAATAGCTTAACATTATAATGATAAAAAAAAAAAAAAAAACTATTAAGAAAAATGATTGTATATTCTGAATAAATACTTAAAATATCTATACCAATGAATGGTATTGAATAATGTAAATAAATGTATAGATAAATATAAATAAATGAATGAATACGTCACCTGGAGAATTATGTTAAATGTATTACACGACCGGTTTCGAATTAAAAGTTCGTCATCGGGTATATCACAAGTCAAAATGTAAAACGCGACTGAATATAAAAAATTAAATGAATGAAAACATAGGAAGAAAATTTACAAACCTGTCGTTTTACATTGAATATAGATATAATTAATTTTAATAGGAGAGGTTATTTAAAACTAGTTGTTCTAAGATACAGTTATGCGAAGAAATATAAACTACTTGGTTATTATTTGTTATCTAAAATGTATTGATACACGACGTTATTTTTAAAAATCTCTCAGAACGTTTAAAATATTATTAAAATTATTTTTCTTTATTTCATTGCGTATGTGTAATTCTTCTAGAAACCGAATTAATGCAAATGTTATTTCGGGTATTTAATATCTCCGAGTCTGTAGTAAATATCAAAGCTTATGTGTTATGGTTATTTTCTAAAACGTGTTTTTGGCGAAATTTGAATTAGGGACAGTCTTTTTTAATTTTATTACCGAAATGTGTTCTTTGCGTCTTATTTTAGAATTTCTATTTGTCTTACCTATACACAATTTTTTACAGTTACATTTAAGTCTATGTATACAAAAAATGTACAAAAGAAGGGGGATTTTTTCGCCAAGTATCCAGTTCTATTGTTTACATGTTTAATTGAATTTTTATGTGTTTTAAAAGCGATTTTTACATTGTTCGTATTATTGTTCAGAATTGTTGAGAACTCGTTGGACACATTATTTTGATATTTCATACTACAACAGTTAACAACATTATTTAGCGAGTTGTGTATTATTTTTTCTTTAATACGTTTATGGTTTTTTTGTTTCAATAGTATTTGAATTTACTATTTCTATTTCTAGTATTTTTATGGGCTACATTATAGATAATATTGAGCTCGTGTTGATAATTACGTTTATTTAATAGAATATGTTCAACCCTACAGAATATTGAATTAAAAAATGACATTATTTTTTGAGAATAAGAGTGATTAGAATCATTTGGTATTATAGCATCAGTTTGTATAGGTTTACTGTAAATAGCAAAATCAAATTTATTGTTTGTTATGGAAACTGTGAGATGTAAGAAATGTAATTTATTACTAATTTGTATTTCGTATGCAAATTGAATGTTTTTATTTATTTTGTTTAAGTAGGTAGTTATCTAAATTTTCCGCTGGTCTATTCGAACCTCTAAATAAAATGAACGCGTCATCAATATATCAGTAATAAGCTTTTATACATGGATTGTATATTTTGTTAATAATATTATTGGTTTCATAATTATGCACACAAATTTCAGATAAAAGAGTACCTAAAGGCCCACCCATAACTAACCCATCTTTTTGCGAACATAATTTATTATTATATTGGAAATAGTTTTGATTAATAATTAAATTTATTGAGTGAATAATTTATTGTACTTCGTTTGTATTAAATTTATTACTATGTATACATTTATTTTTTATAAAATTTAGTGTTACGTGTTTAGGAATGGATGTATATACATACATTTTTAACACCAAGAGAAATCATTTTGTAACCTGGCTCAAAATTAATTTTACCAATAAAATTATAAGTGTTTTTTTTTTAATTTAAAAATTTACTTGAGAATTCAACTATATTGTCTCTGCTCCTTTCTTGGCTTTGATTGCAGCTTCAGATGTACATTTGATATGTATTGATAATGTATTTTGGAATGACTTTTAATTTCTTACAAGTTTTATTGAAGTAGATATTCATATTCGTATTCATTAATTTCATGTTTAAATATTCAATCCTACCATTAAGTTTTTTAGAAAATAAAGATAAAAATTGATTCTCTTTGGATTTATCAAAACTATGTAGTTATAATATAATTTGAACATGTTCACTACAGATGACGTCTCAATAAGGCGTCATTTCGTTTGTACTCTATAAGAGCAAGACTCTATGACGCTTTTCAATTGGTTTCAATTTGACCAGCGTTACATTTTTATCGGTTTTTCTTTTGGTGCATTGATCAATGTATAATTCTGTACATCTGTGTGAAATTTATATCAAATATTTTTTATTTTTGGAAAGTTTATAAGACTTGAACGAGAAATACATCATGAAAAACACATAATTTTGACCAACACATGGGTATACAAAATTGATCCGCAGATAACGCGCTAACTACAATTTATGATTATTGATTAAAGTAAAATAGTATATGAAAATTAGTCAATAATTTAAAAATACCAATATCATATATAACACAAAATAATAGACAAATGGATTTAACAAGGATTTATAGGTACATTAATAGTTTTCTTTTTTTAAGAACAATAAAATAATGACATTTTAATTTATTTTTTATGGTTTAAACTTTTAAAAATATTCTTTCCTCTAAACTAGTAGTTAATAATCTGCTTAAAACTCTATAAAAACTAGTCTATATTAATAAAGTAATATATTTAAGGATATAAAAAAACTTCTTTACGATTTATATTCATATTAAATCAGCAACATTCATCGGCATTTCATCAATTTGTGTGGAGTAGTATTGTTCTATGTCACGTAGTATTCTAATATCGTCACTTTTTACAAAATTGATTGCCACTCCCTTTCGACCAAATCTTCCAGAACGACCAATCCTGTGTATATATAATTCTCTATTGTTAGGTAGGTCATAATTTATGACTAAAGAAACCTGTTGTACATCAATACCTCTGGCCCATACATCAGTTGTTATTAAAACTCTTGTTTGACCAGCACGAAACACTTTCATTATAGTATCCCTTTCTTTCTGTGGCATATCACCATGCATTGAACTAACAGTGAAATTAGATTCTCGCATTTTTTCAGCAAGCCAGTCCACCTTCCTTTTTGTACTACAGAAAATAACAGCTTGAGTTACTGTTAATGTATCATAGAGATCACACAACGTATCAAACTTCCATTCTTCTCTTTCGACTGCAACGAAAAACTGCTTGATACCTTCCAATGTGAGTTCATCACGTTTAACCAATATTCTTATAGGGTCGGTCATAAATTTATTTGTCATTTCTAGAATTTCGTGAGGCAAAGTAGCCGATAATAGAATCACTTGGGTGGCTGGCGGCAAAAACCGATATACATCATATATTTTTTCCTTGAATCCTTTATTCAACATTTCATCCGCTTCGTCCAATACAAATGTTTTAATGTTTCTCGTACGCAACGTTTTACGTCTAATCAAGTCAAACACACGTCCAGGTGTTCCTGACACAATGTGTTGACCAAAGTCTAATTTCCGTATGTCCTCACCAATATTTGTACCACCGACGCACGCATGACACTGAATATTTAAATAATCTCCCAGACCTAAAACCACCTTTTGGATTTGTATGGCGAGTTCTCTCGTCGGCGACAAGCATAAAACCTGAGTGTCCCTTAACTGTTGGTCTATGGACTGTAGCATAGCAATTGAAAAAGTTGCCGTCTTACCCGTACCTGACTGTGCTTGAGCTATGACATCGCGTCCATTGACCATCGGCTTAATAGCTCTTTGTTGTATAGCCGAAGGACGTTCAAAACCGTACGAGTATATGCCACGAATAAGATCTTCCCGAAGGTGCATGTTATCGAACTTGCCGAGTATTTCTACATTTTCGCTGGTCTCAAACTCCACGCGCATTAAATCGTTGACTGGCCGATTCGACGGTTTGCCTTCCATAGTCAGTATTATTTACTTTTCGTTTCACGTGCGATTATTGAAAAACGGCCAAATGTCAGCGAATAACTGGGATCGTGAAACAACGTCGACGATTGTCAAATAAGTGTAAACGTTACCAACTGTAAAATCGTTATCGGCTATTATACTAGATGCGCTAGACAAACGAAAAAACCGCGTTTGGCGTCACTACCCACTTTTATGAAGTAACGAAGGTTTTCGACGTTATCGTAAATGGTTATACCGTTAATTAAATATAACTGCAAGAGTCATTTTTGATAGGCATCAAATAGAGAAAAAAAAATGGTGGCGTAAAGATGCGGTCTCTTATCAATTTCCTAATTTACAATTTTCAATTTTACTTTAACAATTAATTAACAAATCTAAGTACCCGTGTTCAAATAATGATTTATTTTTCTATTTTTAATATGTTATATATTTTAGTATAATTGCTCGAAATAGTTACAAAAAATGACGAAAAATATCATTTGTTGATAACAAATGACAAAACACATGTTGGCTTTCTTAATTTCTATCATAACATGATTTTCAACCCTACCTAACCTGGGTATTATGAATAATTAAACAATATGATAAAAAATAAATGATGATAATCGTAACATTTTGTATATTTTATCATTTTGTAATATAGACATAGAGTATATTTTAGATTATTCTATTATTAATAGACGCCGCCAATTCTGATCTCGTATTAGCCAATAAAAGCATGGCCCCTCCTCACGTTGCCATTTTATTTTTCGCGTATCAAAACCATAGATGATAAAAGTTTATTATCTTTGATCATGATGGGTTTACGTTATTACTCTGTGGTACATTATCATAGACCTTACACTATACAATACCACAGAATAGAATAATACTAATACTTGTACTAGTACGAGGTCTATGGTGTATACTATATGCTAAATAGACCTAGTCTATATTATTAGCCATAAGGTCTATGATATGCAGTAACCTTGTATATTTCAATCATCGTATTTTAGATCATATATATTTAGTATACATAATTCACCGTAGGTACTAGCCACTGGGTGGGCCATGGTAGGTATCGATTTGAACTATGCTGTGGTAGTAATGATGTCATTTAATACTCGGTTTTATACTCTATATAGAAAACTGGTATGCCTTTATACTTGTTAATAAACGGTTATTCCTAGATACGAAAAAAAAAAAAAAGAGCTGATACTGGGTATGGGAGTGTGGCCACTGTTGTAGGTGAGAAGTTGGCAAGGTAGGATACATAAGGTTATTTAATTTATTTCTGTAAGCAATAAAGCCAGAAGTATATTTTATAATGTCAACTACATATTCTTCTAATATTGGTAATTTTTTTTATAATAATCATGATCAAATTAATTAAATAAAAGGGCTTTTGCATTCTTGAACTTCCAGTATTTGTACTAAATGGCTCTATTGTTTTTCTTAATTTTTGTCAATAGTCTAAGTATTTTTTTGTCACCTAAAGTATTCCTTACCAACTTCAGCATATTAGCTGTATCTTAAAATATATAAATTGGTTCATGGTTTATAGTTAACCATGATTTAAAATCTGGTGAATAATAATTAAAATTGGCTTCCAATGATGTACATATGGTTAAGTTACATAGAGCACCATCAAGTGTTATGAAATGATATTTTGCTTCAGTGTCAGCAAATAACTCTAAACAATGTTTTAATAAATTAGCCCTTTCACTATCAGAAAAACTATGAACCAAAAATTACTCTACCACGACTTTCCAATGATCATTTAAGCATACCTACTCCTAAAAAGACTAGAGCATTCATAGCTTGAAATTCAATATCATCATAGACCTAGCTTGAATATTATCTTAATCATTTTTTTAGTACTTATAGTTTTATTACCTACATTTGAAGACGAGTGTCACAGGTTCACCATCAATGGGAAATGTAATTTAAACATCATTGAGAAAGCCTAGTATAGGTATATAGGTATTAATAATATTTATAATTCATTCTCCGAGTGTTACTGCTGGATAACTTCTCTCATCATTCTTTCGTGTCATAATATATCTGAACACTCATATGCCTGTTATAAATATCATTACAGATTGTATACATACTAATAAATGTTAAACAAATTTTTATTTAAATGTCCATGTTTAATTTTTGAATTTAAAACAATATTATTTTAACATCTCACAATAAAATTGTTTAAATGTTATTTCTTATACCTACTAATTTAACACCTCCATGTTTTCAAACACAGTTGCAAAAAAATGTAAAATTAGGAATACCTACGTATTTTCAATTTTGGTTTTATGTGTTATAATGTAATTATTTTTTTGGTCATTTCTTCATTAATTTCATAAAATATGGATACATATTTATAATGTTAATTTAATATTTGAGTAATTATAAATGAATATCTCTTTATAACTTTTAACAATAATCAAGAAACTTACACCTAACTAATCGTAAATGAAAAATAAATCAACAGTGAGTGTTTTACTGTGCTAATGGTTTATTATACCATATAGATAATTATGATAATTGTACCTGTAAAAATGTATTCATTATTATTACATGTATTAATCGTAATAATAATCATAAGAAACACATATCCAACCGAACGTAAAGGAGAAATTTAAATATTAAGTTGTAAAAATTATATTGTGAATTTTTGACCATGGTTAGAAAAATATATTTTATATACATACCCACCGAACCTATTGCGATTTTATTTATTCGTATAGATATGCAATAATAATGATAATCAAATTTGGCTTTTTTTTTTATATCAAAAACATACAAATTAAATTAAAATATAATATTTGTAGTCCTTATCCTCGTGAGTAATATTTACAAAAAAAAAAAAACAGAATTTAATCATATTTATTATTCCAAGACATCAAAATGGGTAGGTTTATCTTCGTGTGATACCTGAATAATCTGTACTGTGAATTGTATAAAATGCAGGTTTTCTGACAAAATATGTTTTTTTACTCTTATCGTTGCACATATGTAAACTGTATTATACTATTTTATTTTTTAAAAAAGTTTAAGACAATTGCAGTTTTAAAACATTCTACACAATGTCATTGTCAATAAATAATACAGAAATTATGGCTTTAAAACAATGATTATTACAACATTAGTCATTGTTATAAATTTTATAATCATACATTTATTATAAAATAACAGAACAGAAACACAATAGAAAAACTAAAAAAATAAAAGTTCAAAAAGATTTTCTTTTTCTGACTTTTTCAATATTTTTTTTCTGTTATTATTGTTGAATTGTTAGTAATCTGCAACATAATTTCACAATATTATGAATATAATTTATTATAATGTATTGATAAATCGAACACATTTATGAAACCATTGATATGTCAGATCATTTTCTAAATAAATATAAATGTACAAATTAATCAATACAGAGTTTCAAACACAAAGAAATACACTTAGAAATTGTATTTCATTCAAAAATTTAATTGATAAAAGTGTGGGTCTATTAGATTACAAAATAAAGAGTATTTAATGATGGATATAATTTTGTCTAAGTTCTCAAAACCATTCTAATAGAAATCTATGGAAGATACCAAATGTTACATTGTATCAAAGAAAACGTTATGAATGTTTTTTTAAGTGAATTTGAATGTGCTAAAAGTTGTAAATATATAACTTTGTTTTAAGCAAAACAATTTCAGAATGAACTGCTTTTCTACAATTTGATAAAACACAATTTTGTTATAGTTAAGAAAAAGAATAAAAAAATACTAACTAACTAAAGTTAATTTGTTTTCTAAAACTAATATCAGCATTGAAATAAATAAATTATGATTGCCATTATTTTGATCATGAATGATAAAATAACTATAAAATTGTATGGTCAAGTGAGGTGTCATGAATTTGAAATTTTGATCACAATATTATACGCTTTTTGCTTGAACATGTAATTTAAGATGTACAATATATCTTTAAAACTAATTAAATAGGTATCAAATGTATTTTGTTTGAATTTGGGCTGTCACTGTCTGGCTCTAATTTCAATTGAACAAATTTAATAACAGATAGAAATAATAAAAACACATATTTGAAGTACGTACCTAATTTAAAAACATTTTAATTCAACAATATACCATGACCAAGTATAAGGAGGAAATTTACAATAAACATGCAAAAATTATATGAGTGCTATTTATTGTTATCATAAGTATAGGAGTATAGCACACACAATAATAAATATAATTTAAGATATCTATATAATTATTATATTTTATAACTTCCTAAATTATTCATATTAATAAAATCACAAACTAAGATGTGTAAATATATTTTAGTTCATAATTATTGAAACATTTGTAAAAGCACTCATTAAGATAGCTAGTGTAAAAATAAAACTAAATGAAAAATGGTAAATCCATGATTAAAAAAAAAAAAAATTTAATAAAATAAAATTTAAAAACAATAATTATAGTTGTATTTTATATTTTAAAAAGTTTTCCTTTAAAAATTTAAAATGTAGGTATAAGAAAAGTAAAGTGGTAAAGTAGGTAAAGTGAAAAAAGTAATCAATATTGACATTTTACGAAAAAAAAAAAAATGACTTGTAGTTCTGAAATGAGGTAGGTATATATTTTTTATAGAATAATTTAAATTATATTAAACAACCAGGGTCGTTTAAAGATATTTTGGGGCCCAGGGCAGTAACATGTAAGGAACACCTTTTATATCTAAATTTTTTCAAAATTTTAAATCTAGGTACATCCTTTTCACAAAAATGTGCATTTATAGGTAGAGGTAGTCTATAGACCACAGATTTTGGACTTACTTAAGATGGCTTTCCCTATTAATAAGTTGTACACAATATATTGCATGAACCTTATTCATAACATATAGATAAATATATTTAGCATACAGAATCGTTAAGAGTATAAATATTTTAAAAAAAAGTAAAATTTATTAATAAATAAGTAATCTTTGTCGTTCATAATAATCAATTCATTAACATTATGACAGTATATTGTTAGTTTTATTTATCGCTAATACAGTTATTAGGTCGTTTTAATTTAAATTTATATTTCGTAAAAGGTTGATTTTGATAAAATTTAAATAAAATTAAATAATTCTACATTAAATTTTCATTAGAATAAACCCTATAAAATGGCTATTTTAAAATTTGTATTTATGTATACAGTTTATTATTTCCAATTATAATGTACATTGCATACTAAAATATTATACCGCTCACGCTGTTAACAGTTAAATTTATTATGTAAAATGAAATAAAATTAGTGGATCTTTAAAACTTTACTTTATCAAATTCTTATTCTTCTCTTGACTTTCCACAGTAACTATGGTCACCACGATAAATATGGCCAATGAAGACACCAAGGCTAATGGGAGCTGCGTTTTTTATTTACATTCTGCCACGAGGTGGCCAGGTTTTCGGTAATTGTAAGTTGTTAAAAACTAAAAAATTTAACATTTATTAATATTGCTATTATTTTTGCATGTTAAATTTACTACTTAAGACGTTTATTTTTTCCTCCCCTCCACTGCAGTCATTGTTTATCGTAAATATTTATTTACCACCGCCCAAATTATTAAACACGTAGTTCGTTCTTTTTCACTGTAAAAAATAACGCCATCACGATCAAACAATAAAATGTATAATGTCATAACAACTTACCAATTTTGAATATTTATTTTATTTTTTACCTACAGTTGATGCCGCAGAGTTTGCAGGTAAAGAATGTGGTTCACAAAAAAATACACGTGGTTGCAGCAACGTTCACACCTACAAGGCAGTTTTAGTAAGACTATACGAGTACGGCACGTCGCAGTCAGTGTTGCCATAATATGCATGGCAAATAAAGCAAAGCCTACACATCATTGAGGCATATAGATAATGCCCAAAAATTATGATGGATAACCACGGTTCGAACTGTAACCGTATAAGACACCCACCGTTCATGAAAACGCCATAAGGCATTATCATTTCTCTGATAAAATGTTATCAGTTATCAAGGCGAATTCTATTATTTTATATTTATTAGTTATTACATTCTTAATAAAATATTAAGACAGATTTCTAAAATAGGTACACATGTGTGTAATAGTGTATTGCAGATATCTTTGAATATGGATTATATTACTATCGTCTCAGTTCGTGGTTATCACCAAACAATAATATTATCTATCTAGATAATTTATACAACAATATTGAATATATCGTTAATATAGTGGAAAAACCATGTAAATATCAATATTGCACTAGAAACTATAATGAACCGCTGAACAATACGCAGACTGTCCCACGAATATACACCCCTTGAATGTCTCGAGATAATAAAGGTAATCAAATTCTGTTTTTTTTTTTTTTCATATAACTTACGGGGATGAGGACTACAAATATATTTCATATTTGAATTTTATTTTTTTATTTTTAGTAAAACAATTAAAAAAATAACTTTATTTTATTATTTTCAGAAAATTTCAACGTCATGTTATCGCGTAACGCGGTCAGGTTATTCCCTAGATAACATCGGTTTTCACACGGATTAGTAGACGGCCTGTGTTTTACGTAAATAACATTATCTATATTAATAAGCCATAAACATTTTTATCAGAATTATTTATAGATTTATCGTTTGTTTTTTGTAATTTATCATAAAAATAACGGTTCGTGTACACGACTGCAAATGGCTAGGAATTATATTATAAAAAAATCAAAAAGCTAGATCCCAATTTCTATGGCAATTCCGGGCTTCAAAACGGCTATATATTGCCATGCAATAGCCAATATGGCTTCAAAGCGTTTGCACGACATTGCAGCACGTCACGAGGTTTGAATCCGACGCAAATACACGTCTTTCCCTTCCACAGACCGTTCTACAAAAAGAAAATGAAAGGGTCTATCCACGATATAATTAACATGGTATGACGGCAATTTCGACGGAAATTCGATCCTACAGAGTGTTAATGGAATAAACAATAATTTATCAACTATTCGATGAAATATGACGTCACTTGGTATAAATTATAATTAAAATCGAAAAAAAGCGACAATATTATAATTTATTAAAATAAGATAATTTTCGTATATACATAAGCTTACTGTATACACACATAGAGTGATTGTTTTCGTCACACAACACTTAATATTTCACAAAGTACATTTCCATAGAGTAGGTAATAACTATAACTACTATACTAAGTAGGCACAATTCATAAGGTGATTTAAACTTTTTCAAAATTAGATTTTTATGTAACTGGGTATTCCGAAAAATATTCTGCAATACTTTGTGAAATAATAAGTGTTGTGCGATATAAGAATCACTCTGTATAATATCATTCATTAGTATTGTGTTGCATTGTATGTTTTTAAAAATACACATTTTATTTTTGATTTCTGATTAAATATATCTGATTATTACCATTTGCAAGTTGTTTCATTTTATTTATTGTACCTATAAATCCATTGACTCCTGCTATGCCTAAATGTGCAGTAGTAACTTGTAAGGGATTTAAGTCTCCTGAAAAAAAGGTTTGTGTTACACAGATTTCCTAAAGAGGTAAATGTACAGAAGAAGTGGGTTTAATCATGTGTACGAGTTGCCAGTATAATTTGTTTATACTGGTGAGTAAATAATATATAATATACAATTATTTTATTATACTTGTATTTGTATTGTATTTGTGTAATTGACTGTTCAAGAAAAATATGTTTTCCGCGTTTTCACAGTGGCGAATATTATAAGCCATTAATTGAAAAAAAAATGGTAGAATATTCACCGAAAGGTTCACAATAACTTAAAGTTGACGTCGCACTATCTGTAATAAGGTATTTTTCATTTTTATTATAATATAAATGTGTGTGTTTTGTTTATATTGTTTAACATTCATTTACTTCCATGTAGCCAATATGATGTTTGGAAAGTCCTCGAACTTTTAGCCGGACAAAATCATAAGTGTCACCACGATTTACCGTGGAACCATCTTCTAACATGTTTTGAATTACGCAATTAATTAATATTTATTAAATCAGCGATAACAACGTATTGTGATAATAGGCAACGGACCGAGTGACCGTGCGCGCAACTCATACCGCGTTAATTATACCATGGTTATGTTAATGGCGACCAACAGCTGAAACTTTTAAACGCAACAAGTTTATTCCAATAACACCGTGTCGTTTCGATCGCAATTTACTCTAACGGGCCAGGAACCGTTGCGTCGTGCAATTTATTTTTTCGTACGCCGTTTATTGTATTCGATTCTTGTGCGGACCGAGAAATAAGTCGCGTTGTAATAATGTTGCGATTGCGAACCGACGCCGCAGGTGCCGCTGAAAACCTCGTACAAGGCGATTATAACTCGCAACCGCTTCTTTCTTGCATTTCAACGCACCCGTCGACTCGGTGTGTTTGTGGAAAATGTTTTGTATTTAAACTTCAACTACGAGTTCGATCAGAAGTAAGTACTTCGGTTTATTAATAATTATTAAGCTTTTAGTTTAGTTTCAATAAAAATAATTTCGTGTTGCATAATAACATTTATATAGAGAAGAAACATAGGTGCATGCGATTTTCGCATGTTTTTATTGGTTGGTTAAAAAAAAAAAAAAAATAGCTGGTGTATACGGTAGGTACTTACAGCCTATACATTTTGTATGTAACGTTTTATCTTGTATATTTTTGTGTTTTTGGACCTACAGGTTTTAAGGCATGTACGTTATGACTGCATAAATGATGCAGTTAAGCTCCCGAGCGATTTCTGGAATTTTTTTTCTAAAATGTGTTTTCGCATGCTTAATTTGATGGTACTTTCAAAAAAAAAGTCGCTCAAACTCCCATTCTCAAGTTATGGTCAAAATGCTCGAATTTTTTAAAAATATCGAGTTTAAAACATCTACAATTTATACTTTTGGAATTTTTTTTCTCAGAAATGGTAGTAACTATATGCTTGACATTTTGGTGAAATCAGAGTTCACCTATCGTACTTACATTTTTTGTTATTGTTAATAAACCAGGTAAAAGCTAATTATAATTTTATTTCAATCATTTGCTTATTAAAGTAATTTAAAATTGATTTTTTGGACTTTTTTAGTTTTTCATTCGTTGCAGGGTTAGAATGTATAATACAGTAAAGTTTAATAGCTCATATAATACAGTAAAGTATATAACACTTATTATACTTATGTTTAAAAAGTACAGCATAAAACTATTAGTTGTGTATGTTTTATACTGTATACTATTTGTTTATTTTTTTTTTGGCTGCAATTGAACAGAAATTTTCAGTTAATATAATTGTCAATTGAATTTAATCATCATTTTATATAGGTATCTCATATTAATTACCTAAGATGTATGTGATAATTTGTTATATTATTTACTAGTTAATCTTTATTCTTTGTTAATAACTACACAAATATTTATAATAACAAAATAGAAATTTGTTTTGTTTTTATTTTATTCTAAATTTAAGAAAATTCACCAAATTTATGTTTTTTGTTAATTTGATATTAATTTATAAGTTTGAATACTTATTACAATTTAAAATGTTCAGCATTATCACTATTATAATAAATTTCGAAAAAAAAAAAAAATGTCATATATAAAGTTTTATACGTTTTATACATGGAGATATTATACGTGTAACTTATAAAACGTTTTATATGCATACATTACCAATCCTAATTCGGTGTGTAATAACAAAGAATTTTTTTATGAAACAATAACTATATGTTTTATCAATATTTATGAGCTATTTAAGTGAAAACGCCAAAGGGTTGTTTTTTCGGCAGTAATTGAAAAATTGCAGTTTTTGACACTAATTGACAATCAACATATTAAAATGTGTCCATGGACATCCTCTCAAGTTATATTTGAAAGTTAAATACATTGACGGATATTTATGGAGATGTCGAGATTATTCCAAGAATACACATTGAAAAAATGTAAATTTAAATACTTCATTATATATTTTGTTAATTAAAAAAAATAGTAATAAATTACATTTTTCCAAAAGTAAAATGTGATATTTATGTATCCATAAGAAAAGATACATTTTTCCAAACCAAAAAATATTAGTTCTGATTTCACTAAAAACTTCTTTATTTTATTACACACTGATTGAAAAAAAAAAGTACAAAAAATCAATTTTGAGTTACTTAAATATGAAAATGATTGAAATAACATTATAATTAGGTTTTAGGTGGTTTAATGAATAATAACATACAAAGTATATTATTGTTGTAAGTGGACAAAGTATGTCGTACAAAGTAAATGCGATAAGTGAATTCTGATTCCACCAAAATGTTAAGCATATAATTCAGCAGCGGTTCCAGACATTTTTTAAAAGACCCCCCTGGCACATTATTTATATTTTCAGTAAATTAATATAAAATATATAAATAAAAACTGTAGTCCATTGATAGGAGGAGGGCACATGCCCCTGTGCCCTCCTCCTGGATCCGATATTGATAATTATTAACATTTATAAAAAACAAATTCCAAAAATAAAAATATTTGGTATTTTAAATTCAAAAAAACGTTTTTTAGAAAAATCAAGCATTTTTGAATTTTTTTGACTACAACATTCATATGAAATTTAAGGGACTTTTTTTTGAAAGAACCATCAAATTAAGTATGCAAAAGCCCACATTTTAGTAAAATAAGAATTAGAAAAAATCGCTCGGAAGCTAAACTGCCTTCATTTCATTATGACACATCCAAAGAGGTGGCTAAAGTCAATTAGCTCCTGTACTTGCTTCCGGCCATAAAAGTTTAAAAATGCCTATATATTTCAATTAAATTGCATGTGTTCTCTAATTTATTAGCTATAATAGGTATATGAAAATAATACTGACAATAATTTGACATCTTGTAATTCATACATACATTTTTTTATTTTATATATATAGACCCTATTTTAAGCACATATTTTGGTATTTATAGTGCAGTTTTGCATTCATAATTTAAAATTTTTATAATTGTAATATTTTTTGTTGAATAGGTGTCATGGGTGTCTACAGTGAGAGTTTCAGAGAATATAAAGTTTTCCAGTCACCCATGGCAGGATTTTATAATTGCCAAAAGTTAGGCCACTTAGATAAAAATTACCCAATGCGTTGTTTCACCGGCCATGTGGAGTGGAGGCCAAGTGGTGGGCAGCAAGGTGGCAGGCAGCGTAATGGTGGGTACATAGTAGCAGGTGATAAAAGAGTAATCGGGCACGACAATTTATTGGCTTTCATCACTCCAAACGAAATTCGACCAAACATCTGAAATCCACAAGTGTCCGCAGATATCAGTCAGTACTGATGAATTAGGTACAGTCAGATGATCCTAATAGATGCTTTCAATAGATTGATTCTAAGATACTCCTAATGTAGAGTACTATTTATTAAAGTGCCTACTTGTGGCAATTTACTAAGGGACACAATTTAGACAATTTATATTTTTGTCAACACTGTATGGTATGTTTGTGTTAGTTGTAAATAGTTCTTGCAAAGTTATTTTAATTTAAATCTGTTATAGCAGCTTTTCTGAGAAATTTTCTCTAGCTGGTGTATTAGAAAGGTAGAGGTCATTTAATGATTTTCCAAGAAGTTTTCAAAATAATTGGGAAACCGAAAAGAAAATTATAGATAAAATGGCAAATATTTACTGTGCACCACGACATTATCCATTTTATTGTTTTTAATCTTTGCGAACTATGTTTTTTACCAGAAATATTGTTTTAATCAAAAAATGCCAAAATAACTTTTTTTTTTTTTAATTTTGGATTTTGATGCTCACCCTCACCAAGAAGGTTGTTTTTGGATTTTTCTTGTTTTTTTAATATTGAAAAAAAATAATAAAAATAACATGACATTATTTTTATGAAAAATAATGCTTTTATTATTTTCAATTTTATTTTTGTTGTAATTCAGTAAAAATATTAATAGAAACTTGATATTTCGACAGAAAACTTATGGCTGCCTTTTTTAAATGTGATAACATTTTAATTTTGCTGGTTTTTTACATAATTCTTATTTAGTAAATACTTTATGAATAAAATTGTTAGACTAAACAGAAATGCTTGACAATTTGACAGGTTCATTATTTTATAAGTTGTACATAGTGTTAAAAAAAAAAGATTTATTGTAAAAGTGTAATGTAAAGTATTTTTTTTTTTTTTTATAAGAGTTAAAATTAAATTTTGATGAAAATTGTAAATATGTATAGTCTTTCAAAATACAAGTAATTGAATTTCGCTTTAATTTGTTTTTTAATAGTAGTTATTTAGTAGTTTATCGTTGCTTTTACAGCAATAAATAACTATATTATGGATCCTATCTTGCCGACTTCCCACCTATAACGTTGGTGCATTCGTCCTAAGTATCTGATTTTGTTTGGCTTCATATTTATTTTTGTAGTCAATAAGTCCTTTTTTAAATCAATTACAAAGGAAAAGTGAAAAAAAATGAACACAAATTATGTATCAGATGAGTATTACCTATATAGACATTAAGTTTATGAATAATTGACAAACATCAAACATGCAATTTAATAAAAAAAAATGTTTTCACCTTCCACCATCTTCATTACCTTCCATCGCCTGGGCAATCAACAGTTTAATAATTTAATAATAATTGCGAAATGATCACTACCAGTTATACTGTGATAAAAATTATTTCATTATTTTAAGAATAACAAAATGTTTAAATAATAAAAATATTCTGTGTAATAATAATATTCTTATCTGCACATGGCGGCAGAGTTGCCATTTTTTCAAACAATTATTCTCGTATTTCCATTAATATTCTATTAATAAAATACTATAATATAGTACTATTTTTACAAGAAAAAAAAAATTAGCATAATCTTAAATTGGTGTGGGCATACCAGCGTATTAAAAATGTGTGGTATCATTTTGGGACAAATAGTAGAACAAATAAAAAAAAAAGAAGAGCTGATACTCAGGACGGGTGTGGCCACTGTTGAAGGTAGATAGGGGGAAAGGTGGGATACATGAAGTTATTTAATTTATATTTGTTACCTGCTATAAACGATTCGGAGTGAAGTTTGGTTTTACGTTTTAAAAGGCTATATTATTTACGATTTTCTTTCTGGCTTTGGCCACTGCAAAATTACAGAGCTGAATACATTTTTGGGTATCATTTTCTCTGCTGAACTTTTATAATAGACCTCCTATAACTGAAAGTATTTAAATATATTAATGTTATTCATAAAGCTAGAATTTTTATTTACCAGAATTCATCTGGTTCAATTTTATTTTCAATTTTATCTAGTAGTAAAGTTAATGAAACTGGCAATTTACATCATTCATCATTGATGATTTTTATATGTGGATCATTGATATTAATAATACAATGAACCCATTTAAGAATATTGATAAGAGCAAGTTTAGTTTCTCTAAAGTCTAATAAGTAATAACAAAGTTTTTTTTTTTTAAACATAATAATTCTGTTATGATAGGATCAGACATACTATATCTTTTTTTTATCTCTATAGAAGATGTTTGTAAAAATTGACAATACCTAGAAAAAAATATGCTGCATTAAATATTTTTCAAATTATAAAAGAAAACAGTATTTCTAAAGTATAATACTGCTCTATAATACTATGAATTACATGGTTACATTAAACTATTAAATAATTTTTCAGCAGTAGCATTACCTGGGTCTATTGAACCATATACCTTCTATAGGTCCCAAAATGTACTTTTTATTTTTCCGGATTTATTATCATAGAATATAGATATATAGATAGAAAATACTAGAGTAATAAAGTAATATGTATTCAATGACAGTGTTGTAAAATAAGTATTTGAATAATTTTTATTTGTATTGTAGTATTCAATTACTTTTTAAAATAAATTTTACCTGTGAAAGACACATGATGATTTGACAGTACTGATATTAGTGTATTCATTTGTTCATTTGTTGAACTGTACCATTTTTAGGTTTGAAACTAGTTCTTCTTTTTGACATTAACCAATTACTTTATTTGTAATATAAGTTGTTTTGTTTCTTTTAAATGATATATTTTTAACTATTTCAGAATCTTTAAAACAACTTTTAAGGACATTTATAAGGTGGTCAGTAGTATGAAAAGCAATATTGTGGCCAGTTAAAAATGCAGTTAGTTTTATTTCTGCAATTTTGATATCAGTATCTAATCTTGTTGGTGTTTTGTTTGTAGTAAAATTTGTTATCAATTTTTATTTTATTTCCTTTTCAAGCTATAATTTTTTAATGATTATTACTTTTACCATATGTTTTAATGTTTGACAACTCAGCGTTCATAGTGCAATTGCACAACTTACACTTAGCCGAAAAATTATTATTATTAACAGGAACCAACCATTTTGTCGACTCGTTAACTTTGAGCTATTCTGACCAAAATTTCTATGCCCTGTGTTTTGTTAGTTTTTAACGGTTTTTATCTGCTAAGTAAATTCAGCACTTATAAGTTATAAAAACAATAGAAAAATTAGAAAATGACAACAGACAAATAACAACAAAATTATTTAAAAGAGAATTGCTTGCAGTTGTTATAATCACTGAATAGTGAATATTGAATAGGTTGAAATTATTAAATGAGATAATTATTAACCATGAATTAACAAATTTTCGTAGTAGCATATCTAATTCTTCATAGATAATACAATCTTCATTATGATTAAATTTCATACAAATTATATATTTACAATAGGTATACAATTGTTTTGTACATCTGAAATATGTCTGTATTATAGAAGATATGAAAAAATGTAAAAAATGTTTGTAAACTTCTCAAACTTAAGTAATATATATATATATATGTATATGTATATGTATATATAGATACATTTAGATCTTCATGAATTTCTACTATAGCGGTTGTACTACACAACAAATTAAAATTGATTTTATTTTAAATTCAACTGCCTAATAAGGGTTCACACAGTTTTAGAATCGACCGCATCATTGATCAAAACATATTGTTTTGAATTAATTCGTTCATACATATCTGGCAGTTAAGCGCAGTTTGTTTTTTAAAAGCTCAGATACAAATAAAAAAATAAACAAGTCCAATATTGTGGCCTAAAGTTTTTGGTCAGTAACTTTTATTTCATTTTGTAACTTTGAATCATTACAATATTCCAATATTATAAAATGCATAAATGTCTTACATAATAATAAAGTTGAAAATATATTTATAATTCAGTTTTCATTACATACAATCATTTTGACGGAAAATTATGATACTGTTATGTTATGTAAATAAGTAGGTATATATAATATCATATACTTATATTGCCTATGTTTATTAATATATATTAATTATATTAATAATATTCATTATTTTCCTGGTTATTTATATTGAATTCATTTTTGGTTCATTAAAATTATCTACCTATAGTTATTATATAGGTATATACTATATAAGTGTTATTATAATACTATGAAATATTAGTTTTCTATTGGCTAGTAACTCATTAAAAGATTTAATCGACATAAGATACCTAATAAATGAAAAACTTTTCAGCATACAGGAACTTAGTTTTATATCATTATAAAATTTAAAAGAAAACGTCCACTTGTTTCACTATCATTATTTATTGGGTGAATCCAGTGTTTTCTATGTGGTCTTTGCACAGGTTCTTCACATTAAGGGCTTCTGCTACATACAAAAATTTAACTAGACGATTGTGATTTAAATTCAATTCGTACGGACAATAGTGGATTTTTAACATTTTTCTGGGAGGGGTCCTGAAAAAAACATATGTACTTAAAAGGTATCTCTATTAATAGATGCCTATTTTTGGACGACATTTATTGAAATCATATCAGTATCCCCGTAGATCCGGCATTGTGTACGGATAGCTAATATTTTATAAACATTCTATTGTGTTAAAGACACTCAGATTACTAAGTTTTAAAATAAAGTAATTTTTCATTCACCCAATATTTTTGGTTTAATTACGAATCGTTTGGCTGCGTATTTGTGTATGGTAATCCGGCGGTTGAATTTTTTGTGGTATAACTGCTGTGGCCAACTGCTATGTGTGGCCCGACCTTAATAATCTTAATACTTCGGTGTTTATACAATATGCACTCAACTATATAATGATTATAGGTACAATCATTTTTTGGCCAATCTGCAAGTATATGTGTACTTATCCAATGTTAATCTTCTTTGCCTCTTTGATTTTTACCTGTTATAAGTATTGTTGGCTTCGGATTTATAGACATTTTCTTATTTCAAGGACCATTGCATATTGCTGTTATCACGAA